TGAAGGGGAGCCTGCCAGTCAGAAAACAAAGTTATCCTCAAAGCTGGGATTTCCTCCTGGTAAGAGATCTATGTGCTTGAATGGTTACTGACTTGGGGTCTGAGTAAGGTTTGAATGACCGTTAACTTATGTCAAAAGGTTGTAGCCAAGTGCTTTCTCTTGTCTTTTCCAGGTGAACCGGGGACATGGATGATTTCCACTGACAGTATTCTACAAACAGACATTGTCACTGGTGTAGGAGTGGCCAGGAGTCCAGGAATAGCAACAATCTTTCACAACATCCCAGGAGTGGTGAGAACATATCGAGAGGTAAACCTAACATTACCAGGGCTGTAGAGACATGGGCGACTATTCCTATACATGGGGATATGCATATAGAAAACACATCCTAGGGATAGAAATACATTCACATATCAAATATAAAGACAGCCAACAAACTTTATTGGGACATAAAGGGAAACAGTGATTCTTAACCAGAAGAATGACTAGTCTGACTTATATTTTGAAATACCACTGTGGCTACTGGTTGGTACTAGACTATAGGGGCAAGAGTAGACGCTGAGAGACAGCTGGGAGGCTATTACTGAAGTAACGCAGGTGAGATGTGATGGTGGAGCAGGGTGGTAACAGGACGCAGTGAGAAGCTGATCAGATTCTAAATAGATTTCATAGGTAGAACCAATAGAATTTCTGAACGTTACATGTACAGTGTGAGAGAATCAAGAATGACTTAAGGTGTTTGATTGAACAACTAAAAAAATCATAGTTTCCATCAACTGTAATGGAAGCGTTTAGGAGAAAAGATCAGTAGTTTTGGACATGTAAAACTGGATGTCTATTAGACGTCAAATGGTTAGGGTAGCTGGATATAAAAATCTGGGAACCGTTGGCATAGAGATGATATTTAAAACCATTTGATCACCAAGAGAACGTGTGTAAATAGAGAAGAGATTCAAGGACTAAGCTCTGGGGGCATCCAATGTTAAGAGCTCTGAAAGAAGAGGAACCAAGAGACTTGTAAGAAATG